GAGAGAGAGAGAAAGGGAGAGAGAGAGAGAGAAACATGCAGCTCGGGGACAAAAAAAAATCAGGGTGAGCATCAGTATAACCACTCTCTGTCCTTTCCAACTTGATCTTTTCCCACCCCCGCCCCCTTTCTCTCCATCCTCATTTTTTCCGTCTAAGAAAATATAGGCTACTCAACTGTCTCGTAGCCAGCTTACGTTGGGCGTGATATCAGGTCTTAACCAGTCTGTCTTTCACTCACTTTTATAGAACCAATATTCACGTACTCGTGCGCAATTTTAGTTAAAGCAATGTACATAAGATTTTGTCAATAATACTTTTTAGAAGTTAAGTCTCTTGTAATTTACAACAAAACGTTCAATTTTCATTTTAAAATTCCATAAAATAGAAGGTTCAACAGGGAAGAACGCATGTAAAAGGCGAAACCCTGAGACCCTGAATTAAACGTACAACTGAAAGTTTTAGTTTTGGTAAGGTTTTTACGGCGCTCGCACCTGCATTAGGTCGTATGAGCACCAAAAGGTGGATGTCAACAGAAAAGTCCAAACGGGGAATCAGGCTTACTCTACTCACCTGTTTAGCCTCAACATCACAGAGTCTGCTTCGACTATCAAAGCACCGCGGAAATAGTAGACAAGAGAGTGACAAACATATAAAAGAAGTAGAGGAAAAATGACGATAGTAAGGATAAGGAAAAAGAATGCAGCAGTTCCCCCTATGTTGTTCTGGCAAAGTATGAGCATGACATTGATAAATCAGTCCATTCACAATTTTTGGGAATGACCTAAAGACACTTCAGTGAGAGACTGCTCGGGGGGGGCGACTGAAAAAGAACTGAGCGAAGTAAACGGGGAGCATAGTAAACTGTCCAAAATGGTGTCAGGAGGGATTCAAACCACAGCACTATAGCCCAGCATGATATCAACTGAGATGATCAAACACTATGCACTACACCCATGTCTAATATAGCGCTTCACCCTCGAATACAGAAGGCATGTGTTGGATCCCTGTGAGGGGACAGGCTTTTTTTAAACAGTGTATCTCCTTTTGTAAGGGATGTTGTATCCCTCTAAACCTGGGTTGACTCTAGCAGCCATGATCAAAGCAGCTAACATCCTTTGTGATCGAAATTAAGAGTGAGGCGTCGTGGTGAAATCAGGCGCTCGTCATAATAATGAAATCAAAGAAACTGTCATTTATCTGTCCGTTTCGCATATCTAATCGACTTTTTATTTATTTTTCTTTGACTCAACACCTTCAGGGTCCATTAAAAAACACTTTTCTTATTGGATTTTGCTGAAAAATGTTTATGTTAAGGCATAAAGAGTAAATTTCCGGTTTCTAAAGACTCTCAAGCTTTGGAAGTCGCAAAATTTCGGCGGCCATTTTCTCACTAATGTTATTCTGAAACCAAGTGACCTCCAGCTCCTTCAATTGCAAATATCTCGACTTCTATTCATGATAGATGAGTACTTTTGTCACCAAAGCAGGACAATTGAACAAGCGTTAAAATTATACAATAACTCCACATGCCCAAAATTGCCGAGCACCAGATTCCACCGCGCAATAAAAGGAGTATAAAAACTAGAGTTTTTAAAATATTCTTTTACGAATGTAAATTAATAAAGATGTTAACAATTTTTCGCGACAGATTGACTCTATAATTATTGTCAATAAGTTTACAGATGTTGAAATCGTTAGAGAGCGTTAAGATCTATCTATCTATCTATCTATCTATCTATCTATCTATCTATCTATCTATCTATC